TATGAGACCGATTGGAGCGAAGTGTCGGCTCAGGTGTGGCCCCAGGAGTCGCTCATTGAGATACAGGCGCTCAGCCCCGGGAACTGGTATTTACTCAATGTTAAGGCTATCAATGAGGCGGGCAGTGTTGAACAGACCTACCAGTTCGCCACACTTACGGCACAGGGAGGTGAGGCATACAATGAACATTATACAATGATATTTGATATAAAAATTTTATGAGATAGTAAGGGAAAGATTTTAATAATGGATCTACATTGGTGTCGCCAACCACAATAAATTAAGTCTGATAATATAATTCCGAATTAATTCAAAAAATAATATACAGTTTTAAGGTATTAAATATGAGGCAATAGTTATTGATAAACAATTCCTTTTGTAAAAATTTTAAAAATTAGTGATTTGAATTATTTAATTGATCTTAAACATTTGTTTACAGTTCTAATCACTCAATTGTTAAATCATAACAATAAATTTTATGTTCAAAAGATTTTGTTAGGATAATTATATTATAATTTAAAAAATTATTTAGATACTATTTTATATAAAAATTACATGGTTAGAGATTTTAATAATGAACCACCGTTTGCATCGCCAAACTTTAAACATTGAGTTTGATAATATTATTTTGAATTAATTGAAAATATAATATACAGTTTTAAAGCATTTAAAAATACATTATATTAAAGTTGTAATCTATATTCAAGAACAGTACCATTAAAGTGTAGCAAATCAGTTTTATTCAATTATAAGACTACCTTGGACTTTTATGAATACCCGGTTAGATTATTATAATAAAAAATATAATTTATGGCTTAAGGGTGCAAATCTTTTTATTAATGTTACTAAAAACCCATAATTATGGTATTTAAATATTTAGGATACACTAGAATTCAAAGATTTATTTACTGTTTGAATGCTTGTACTATAAATAATTTTACAATATTTCAGTAATCCCTGTCCAATAAGAAACGGGTGGTTAGGTTTAAAATATCAGCAGAAAACTGCCATCCCAAAAGATAAATAAATAAAATGTTATGAATATGTTATATAGAATTCAAATATTAATTTACAGTTTTACCACATTTATAAAAGTATACAAATATTTGTCTAATCCCTGTCCCCACCTAATTATAGGCACAGTATCGCCACTGTCCGAGAGGGAGCCGTTAGGTTTGGAAAGCATAGCAATAGTAATACCTGTGATATGTTCGGTGATTGTGTTGACTGTGATACTAATAATTGGCTTAATTGTGGTCAATAAGCGCCGACTGCCGGCCACTCATAACCCAAACCAATCGCTACATAATCAGCAAAACCACTGCCGCGACGACCAGCTATTGGGCTCAGCCTACCATTTGTCGGTACTGGACAGTCAGCCCCCGAAGGACAGTCACGAGAACCAGTGCTTCCACACGACTGTCCTCAACCAGAAACAGATATACTTTCAGTCGCCGTACGCACTCTCCCGGGTTGACCACAAAATGTGTGTCCCTTTCGATGGCATCGACAGCTCGGACGACATGAGTGTATCCATGGCTGGAGTACAGCCCACCCGAGAGCACGTCTATGAGAAGCCTTTCCCACCGAAATGGGTGTGAATTATGTGTTCATTACTGTTATTATTGTTATTATATTGAAGACATTATCGGAGAAAAATTAATTGACTTTTAATTATATTTAATGAGATTTATTTCATCAACTTTTTTTGGAGGCTATGTCTAAAAATCTTTAACTCATTTTTAATGAAAATATTTACATACAAAACATGTGTTGAATTTTGTGCCAAAAAACATACAAACTTTATATGAAATTATTTATTCCGGAAAAGAC